TGCTACTAGTATTTGCTGCTGCATGGAACATTTTTCTTTAAACTACAGTCTTGTGTAGTATATTAATACCACCCAGCAAAATCCTAACGGTTAGTTTTAAAATTTGAAAATATTTTAACTCAAATTGATTGCATATAATGGCTGTAGTCTTTGCTAAATTAAGAATTATTTTCGAGCTGAGATTTTAAGCTTTCCGTTAACTACAACAACATAAATGAATAGAGCTTTCACTACGAAATTAAATCACAACTTTAGAAGCAGATAAAAACAAAATAAGGCTACATAACTGCGTTTTTTTTTTAAGAAAATATCGTTAATGATCTTCACTAACTCAACCAAAAGCAACCAATCACATGATTTAAATTGACTGGACAATTGTTCAGGTTAATTATCTTCGTAGCAGGTAAATTTAATTGAATAAAGAGACTTCACTTCGGTAAAATTAATGTAGTTTTTTCGAAATATCTGAGGCAAGTGTGAAAAACTAAGGATATGTTCGGAATCAGTGGACTAAAAATGCCCAAAATATACTACTCGCTTTTTGTCTTTAGTACAAAGGGGCTTGGCACATTGCATTTGCGTGAAACTTTTAATCAGCTTTATCTTCGGAGCCTTGAGTCATGTGAAATTGATATTTGGTGTGGAGCAGTTGTTCGTGGACTACTGTAGCTAACGAGGGATGCGAGTTTCCAAGAGGGTGTGGCACCTGTCATAGAAGGCATACGTGCAGAGAATTATAACTTTGTGTCCATAAGTTAGTTTAAAAATCGGAGCACCTTCCAGTCTTCTTTCGTTATCTTAGCTATCTAACTTATAATGGAACAAGATAGATAGTATAGAAAGTGATGGCCAATTAGGTCTTTAGGTTACCGGATCACTGCGCTGTCATCCAAGCATAGGTGGCCGCAATAAAAGCAGGCTTCGGATTGGTTGCTCCCTAGTGTAACACCTTTTAAGATGGTGAATATTTATTCCGACAGCCAAGCAGCTATCAAGGCTCTTGACTCCTTGACGGTGCGTTCGAGAACGGTGAAAGGGTGTCTGACTTCCTTATCGACCACATCGGATTACTTCACTGTTAAGCTTATTTGGATTCCAGGGCACAGCGAAATCGCTGGAAAGTTCATGGCCGATGAGCTGGTGTTTTGTCAGCTCAGCGAGTGCTGTGCGAAGACCTTGGAATGCGAGGTGGCAAAATCCTCCTGGCCACGCGTAGGCTGGTGGCGGTCTGGGGAGCTCTTAAGATTAAGCAAGTTACATCTCTCGCTATTGCTGGGAGTGCTAACTGGTCATTGCGCGATGAGCTTTCGGGAATGGACATCAGCCGCTTGAAGAGCTTAGCTGCAGCACGGAGCACTTCTCTCACAAAAAGCCATGTATCGTCATTCTCCCTTACCTTTCCATTCTTTTCCTACCCCTGCGTCCTTTTCCCTCTTCCCTCTTCTGGGCAGCAAAACGTACAGCACAGTCGTGTCTAAGTGGGCCTCCATCTACGGAGGCAACCTTATAACCTAAGGTAGGGTGGTCTATCATGAGCTTCCGATCACCGTCAAGTTTAGGTTTCCTAACTTCAGTAGCGTTTTTGTGGCATAAGTGGCTGTCATTAAAGAAGCAGTAGATATGCTACAAGAGGAAGTGACGTCAAAAAGGAGGCAGGCATCCAATCAAGAGCCGGTGGAAGCGGATCGAAGCGCACTTGCCGCTTCTCGTTAGCTCTTGAACAGGTGACCCTCATGATAAGCCAGCCATCGATGGGCTAGAGCTAGCACATGCGCAATTACAAGATTCTTCGGGTGGATCTGCTTCTAATGACTGCATATCCACAGATCTTGCTTTTGGTGGGTGTCTCAACAAGTCACTGTCCGATCGGAATTCACGTGCTGAGGCTAAAAATCACATATCATCGCTAATGCCCCAACTTATTAGAAGAAGAAGAGGTGCTATTATAGTATACATGTATTTTTACGTGCCGTTACTTAGCTTTAAAACGTATTATATTTAAATTTCGGCCGATTTGAATTAGAAGGATTTGTAGCAAAAAGGCAACATTCGCCGCAAGCGTAAAATCCTATGCAAAATGCTTCTTGAAAATAAAAAAATGAAATTTTTTTACGTCAGATTAGGATGCAAAATGGAACCACCATAAGAACCCAAAACGAAAAAAAAAAAATTGGATACAGCCCAGTGAACGCGATATATATTTATTTTATTTTGTTTTATTATGCATTAAGCAATTTTATTTTTTCTGAATTTTTTACACTACTAAAGTAATGTCAAAAAATCACATAAATAACATTTTACAACAAAGTGAACCACCTTCTTACAACAGACACTTTTCAACACAATCTAATCTATTTAGGTCGATAAATTTGCAATCAAGCCGTCAGTTAGTGCTCGTCCACCGCAATGTTAGCTACAATTTTAATTTGCCACTTTTTGCTATTTACCGCGCAGCTTGCACACCAACAAGCAGTCGCAGCGCAGGAAGCACCTCTCATAGAAATTTCGCTTGGCAAGATTCGTGGCAGTGTTCTGACCTCGCGTAAAGGACGTGAAATCTACGCCTACCGCGGTATATATTATGCGGAAGCGCCGACCGGATCGAGAAGATTTGCGTCACCTGAACCGGTGCAACCATGGAACGATACTCTGGATGCCCTAGCAGATGGTCCTACATGCCCACAACCTTTTGGAGATCAGCAAATGGACGAAAACTGTTTGTCCTTGAACGTTTTCACGACGAATGAGACGACATCAAATCCAGTGATCGTTTGGATACACGGTGGTGCCAATAGAGAAGGAAATGCCAACAGTGAATATACCAGCGGGCCGCATTACTTGCTCGATGAGGATATAGTGCTGGTCACAGTTTTCTTCCGTGTGGGCGCATTCGGATTCTTAAGTACAGGTACCGTAGATGCTCCTGGAAATTACGGTTATTTAGATCAACTATTGGCACTCAAGTGGGTGAACGAACATATTCAGAATTTTGGTGGGGATCCAAAAAGGGTCACACTCCTCGGTCAGAGTGCTGGAGGTTTTGCAGTAACTTTGCATATGGCATCGCCGTTATCGGCTGGTCTCTTCCACGGTGCAATCGCAGTGAGTGGTAGTGCGACAAGTCACTACGCTATAGACAATGCTTATTGGAGTCGAAAGCTGGCACATGAGCTCGGGTGTCCCAAGTACGAGACCAAATATTTACTGAATTGCTTGAGGCAGGTTAGTTGGGAAGAGATAGTTAATACGACGGTGAGGTGGGAGAACTATGGAATGGCAAATGTAAAGTGGAACTATGAAATCGATGGAAAATTTCTCGTGGAGCACCCTAGTGAGGCGATACGTGGTAACCGGTTCAATCGTGTACCTATCATCACTGGCATCACTCGAGATGAATTCGATGTAATGCCACAAGGTGAGCACGCTTCTCAGTTCAAACAAGATTATGAAAATTAAATCAATTTATATAATTTTGAAGC